CGCAGGAGAAGCCACCATTGACCAGAGAGGTGGCACCCGGGGGGCACGGGACATCCCCTTTGGAGCTGGAGTTGGCCCCGTGGGGACAAGAGAGGTCTTCGTTGAAGAGAGAGGTGGCACCTGGGGGGCATGGGACGTCTCCTTTGGCATTAGAGATGGCCCCATGGGGACAACAGTCTTCGTTGCCTCAAGAGAGGCCACCATTGACCAGAGAGGTGGCACCCGGGGGGCACGGGACGTCCCCTTTGGAGCTGGAGGTGGCCCCGTGGGGACAAGAGAGGTCTTCGTTGAAGAGAGAGGTGGCACCTGGGGCACAAGGAACGTCCCCTTTGGCATTAGAGATGGCCCCGTGGGGGCAACAGTCTTCGTTGACGCAAGAGAAGCCACCACTGACCAGACAGGTGGCACCCGGGGGGCACGGGACGTCCCCTTTGGAGCTGGAGGTGGCACCGTGGGGACAACGGTCTTCATTGGCTCAAGAGAGGCCACCATTGACCAGAGAGGTGGCACCTGGGGCACAAGGAACGTCCCCTTTGGCATTAGAGATGGCCCCATGGGGGCAACGGTCTTCGTTGACGCAAGAGAAGCCACCATTGACCAGAGAGATGGCACCTGGGGGGCACGGGACATCCCCTTTGGCACCAGAGGTGGCCCCATGGGGCCAAGAGATGCCACCACCAAGACAAGAGGTGGCACCTGGGGCACAAGGGACATCCCCTTTGGAGCTGGAGGTGGCCCCATGGGGCCAAGAGATGCCACCGCCAAGACAAGAGGTGGCACCTGGGGCACAAGGGACGTCCCCTTTGGAGCTGGAGGTGGCACCATGGGGACAAGGGTCTTCGTTGACGCAAGAGAGGCCACCATTGAACAGAGAGCACCGGAGGTGGCCCCGTGGGGCCAAGAGATGCCACCGTTGACCAGAGAAGTAGCACCTGGGGGGCACAGGACATCCCCTTTGGCACTGGAGATGCCCCCATGGGGACAAGAAAGGCCACCGGTGACGGGAGAGGTGGCACCTTCGGCACCGGAGACGTCCCCTTTGGCACCAGGGACATCCCCGTGGATGCAAGAGGTGGCACCTACCCCACAGGTGGCACCTGGGGCACCAGGGATGCCCCCGTGGGCACGAGGGACAGTGCCCGGGACGGCCCCGAGGGAGGGTTTTCCCCCGGGGGGTCCTTGGGGACCTCCACCAGGGTCCCCCTTCCCGGGCACCGGCGGCGTCCCCGTAGCC